GGAGCACTGCCCGAGACAGCATTTACACAGGAAGGTTCTCGTAATGCCACCTATGCCTCCTGCTCGATGCCTCAGCAAGAGGGGATATCCTGGTGATCGGGGAAACCCCTCAGTGCGACCCAGATACGGTAGACCAGTCAAGGTATCATGAAAGCGTAACCCCAGCCCGGACGTCCAGGAAATTTTTGCAGTGATGCGCCGGGGGCCTGATGAACACGAAGGCTCCCACAGAAGCCTGTGTTATGGCCGCATGATCCAGGAAGTATGAAGCCGAAAACCAGCTTTACTTACCGTCTGGACATATATCGAAGAGTGAAATACACACTGCAAGTCGAGCACCTGGTTTCTGAACCCAGCAGACGGGATGCTCATCGAGGACCTACCCTAGAAAAGGAACAGAAACACACAGGTCCCGGGAAACACTGCAAAGAAAACTAGCAGAAGGGTTATTTTTACACACAACCACCAGTCTCGTTAGATACACATATATATTCATATATACATATATTAGATAGGGGCATCTTCTCATAACCGCTTTTGCGCATTGCCTCGATGTTGGCATAACTTGTATGCTGGAATCGATGGATGCTTGAGGAAAAATCGGCCTCTTCCATTCCTTCTCAATCTTTTTATGAAAAACAGGAAGAAAGGAAGGCTCACCTGAGCTGGAGGGTTATTTCGCGACGTCACTTTCTTCACCCGCTTCACGACAAGTAAAGCCTCGCCGTGGCGCAATCCATAATTTCCAAAAGCTCATCATACGCAGGCTTTGCTAGTGCTCGCCATAATGAGATAAATAGAGATCGCTCTTACCACTTAAATGCACGCTTCAAACAAAACAGTCAATGAAGACGAAGAAGAGAATGATGTGTAGCTCCCGGCGCCTATTTATACTATAGTCGCACCGGTAGTGACGTCATGGCTGTCGCTGGTCAACGAGTTGGTGTTTTTTCAATGTATGCTTTAGACACGGGTCACAATGAGGCGTCCCCCATAGCGACCCCTAGAGGACGCAGTTTGAAAGGGAACTATGTTTGTTGATGGAGCAAAAATAGACAACGGTTTTGTCTAAAATGTTATCTTTATTTTAAAGGGGTCATAGGATACCCATTTTCCACAAGTTGATATGATTCTTTAGGGTCTTAATGAAAAGTCTGTAACATAGTTTGGTTAAAATTTCTCAATGGTAGTGTAAAAAACACCTTTTTTACTCTGTCAAAAACAGCTCTTTTCAGATCAAGCCGTTTTTGTAGCATTTCCCTTTAAATGTTAACGAGCTCTGCTGACCCTGCCCCTCTCTTCCAGCTGCTCTCAGAGATTCTGTTTACTTTAGCCGCATTCATGAAACTTGCTAATTAGCACATTATTAGGAAAGGCGATTTGCAAAGATTCATTACAAAACATTATACTCACTTCTTCTGTAGATGAGGCTGGATCATGAGTGATTTGCGCTAACATAGACGCATTTATGTAGATCGGGGGCGCATTCCCTTCAGAAAGACATAATCCACTGCGAGTTCAGCGGCTCAGAAGTCGGGAGTAAACGACTGCTGTTCATTATTACATCCAACAACAGAACACCTCAATCGCTTAGAAGTCATTCTTGTCTACATCTGCTCCAGCGGTGAAACAATGGCGGACTGATGACAGCTCACTCAGGGCGGGTCTAAGGTAAGACACCAGTCCAGTCTGTGCTGAAACACTACTGTCAATCAAACTATCGTGGGAGGGGCCTGTCTGTGTGAGGTCACACAGACAGGCATCTGAGATCGGCTCGATTTGAGAAAGGGGAAAGCATTTAACCATTAAAAAAAAAACACTGGGTGGGTTTTTATCATTATAGATTTTTATAATTATCATTACTGCCAACACACATTTCAGTTCAAACAACTTGTAAAAGTGCATGTAGCATCCTATGACCCCTTTAATGCTGTGTTAAATATTATGGACAATATTATCTGTTTTGTTCAATATCGCAAATGAAAATCGTTCCAAACAAAGTCTCCGAACAACGCACAGCATTGTTTTGTTATTGCACGAATCTGCATTTTTTTCAACAATTCGAGTGTTGAATCTAATTAGTT